TGCCAAGTCACCTGACAAATGTTAGGCAATCCAGGGGTGGGTTTCATGCCATAGGGGATTGTGACATAGTTGGCATAACCCCCCCCCCCCTATTAGACAATCTATGGGACTTAGGTTCACCAGTGTACTTTTAAAGGCTGTGATGGATGTAATGCCTCACGCCATATTTCACGAACGCACATCACAACAAAACTCACGATACCATCCACACCATCTGGATGCTTGGCGGTCCACCACTGTACATTTTACTAGGAGTTTTCTTCCTCGTACCTCTCTGTGGAATCGTTTACCACATAGGGACTACGACTTCGGCACCTTCAAGAACAGAGCTTACTCTTTTCTAAAAGACCGGCAACGCACACGGTTCCCTTGATGTTGCAGTTGCTCATGGGCGGCGGTATTCACTTTCCATCAGGTGAGCCGCATGCTTGTTTGCCCCCTCTTATATAAAAAAAAATAGTTATAATGGCTCCTTATATTCTTCAAACCAGAATACAACAATGAATGTACTCCTGCTTACCTACAGAAAAAAGTAAAAAAGTGTGTTACCCAGAAAAAAGGCCTACGATTTAATAAATCAGCAGGGAAACTAATAAATCTAACCTACCCAACTAATACGAGGAATTCATTTACATCCGTTGAAGTAACGAAACGGATGATCCGAGGTTTAAAAATCGAAAAAAGTCCTCAATGACTCGTGAAGGATTCGATTGATGTGCACGTGTCTACGATGAATTAAATTCATTGATCATTTCAATGTTTGTGACGCCTTACTGAAACTCCTGTAATAATAACCGTCTTCCAACAAAGAGTAGTTTACATTATTACAAATAGTTTATATAAAGTAGTTATTACTCTAAGGTTCTTAGTAACTTATACGTAATAGAGCCACACTGCAACTATATTGTAGCACGTATTAGGTCGGTCCGAGTAGAGTAGGGCCACGATTTCTCACCTTCTGTTACGTAGTACTATTATATATTCCGTGCATCTGTGTTTAGTAAGTTGAGTGTAGAGAACCGGAGTCCTTTTTTACTACAAACGAGACATTCCATCTTAGTCCTCGGGGTAAAAATACATCTACATTTTGATTCTCAATCAAGGATGTCCATTGGCCACAGTACCCGTTTATCATCAAATTGACTTGTGCTCGTTGATGAGCCGTGATGATACTAATTTGACTAAGTCAAAAATATGAAATTATTATACATTCATCGGTTCTTTACAAGTCTGAATAATCTGTCAGACGTCTGGAAGTGTGTTAATATTGAATTAAAATGAATACATTTTATCAATTTTTATATAGATCTATTCAAAAAGCGTGTTAAAAAAGGTTTCTAATCGCGTAAGTAAGGTAGAAAGCAGAAAAAATACCTACAACCAATACTATAATAAAAAGTAACTATCCTTATTATTCGTTTGATCCGGATAGTAAAATTAATATTTTCGGATATTATATTTGACATATATTCGGGTAATTTGGATATCCGAATAGCATGCCCAAAATCTAGTAAATGAACATAAATGACTCGTTTCTTTCGTAGCTAACCTGATCCTATTTACGTCAAATGGCGTTAAATTAAAGTCAATAAAATTGAATATACGATAACGATTACCAATATAGACTTTACGTGATGGCTTCACGACAGTCTTTGCTTATCGTCTGAAGTGGAAATATCTTATGTAGCAGTTCCAGAGAGGAAATTTGTTTTAGCCGGCCCATTAGCCACCAGTAATGTGTCATTAGGAGTTCGCGAACACACACTCCAACTTTATTGCTCTTCCAAATGAAGCACGGCCACTTGTTACTTTCACATCGATCTGTTAAGGATGCAAAGTCGAAGACGCCTTTAGGAAAACTTTTTGTCTTTGTTGGTCTAGCGCTAATGGACCGTTGACAGGAATCTGTCATTCGTCTTTATATAACTACTCTTGTTAAGTGGTGCCATTATCTACATTACAAAGTTAATGGATTTTTGATACAAATAATTAACAGGAATGATATTAGTATTAGAGACAAACGAACATACAGTCAACCTGATGGTAAGTAGACGATGTGGGCCATAGACATCTACATTCTATCTATCCTCAATTAAGAATCAAAATGCAGATGCTTTGTCACCCCTGAGGACTAAGATGGAATGTCTCGTATCCAGTTAAAAAGGTTTTCCGGTTCTTTACACTCACCATACGAAACGTACGTAAAATAGCAGCACTAAGTTGCTATTTTACGCTGGTATTCTGTGAGAGCGTGGTCCTACCCCATTCTTGATACAACCATAATTTAGTTCCAGCTTGTCTCTACCGCTAAAGAAAACGATGTATTGGATTGTTGTAAAAAGTGAAACGTTGAGTATGTTATAACGTGCTAGTACAGACCTTTGAATCACTATCATCATCAATGCATACTATCAAATTCCACAGCTTATAATAGGCCTGACCTCTAGATTATTTCTTAGGTGGGACATTAGCCATAGGTAGATAGACGGTATGACAACTGCAGTTTTTTAATTATTTCAATTTGTTTCATCCAATCATCCATTCATTACAAGCTATATATCCGCTGATGAACATAGGCCTCCCTTATAGAGCAAATTTTGCCATAGTCAGCACGCTGATCCGGCAGGTTGATACTGGCAGTTTTTTTTTAATATTTTTTGTTGTTATCAGGAAAGTTCTGCTGCCCGATTCTTGTCTCAAGTTCCCACTGTCGCCTCTTACGACGCCCACGGGACGATATGGGGTACTGGATATTCTTCTGCTACTACACGGTTTTATAAACAAGTTGCTTTAAAAACAAAACACTTTCGAATTATTTAGAAAAAAAAAACATATAGCAATAGCGGCGTACACGTAACAATACCTATTTACTTCGGATATAGATCGTCACATGTTTAATCAGTAATTCCATTTGTATTTTACGAAGGCAGTCGTAAAACTAGGCGTCGATATTGTGTAATAAAAGCGATTTTAGCGCACACGGATCGTTGGCCATGGTGCCGAGGCGAGACGCAGTTGTATGACGGAATATGTTTACCCTACAAACAGAAATGTAAAAAGTATCAATGATCCGAGTCTGGTAAGAGTTTTAGAGTATTTTATTGTAATGAACGCCTGAGACTGTTTTAATAATGGTAAAAATTAGTCGTATTCCAAAGTAAACTACACATCTAGATTGACAACTATATTTCTGAAGTAAAGTTTATTTTTATAAGATAGGGTGACAAACGAGCACACAGTCCACCTGATGGTAAGTAGATGCTGTGGCCAATTGACATCTACATATATCCTCGATTAAGAATCAAAATGCAGATGCGTTATCACCCCTGAGGACTAAGATGTAATGCCTCATTTCCAGTAAAAAATGGTCTCGGGATCTCTACACTCACCAATCACCATACGAAACACAGTAGTATTAAGCTGCTATTTTACGCTGGTATTCTGTGAGAGCATGGTTCTTCCCCGGTCAGGCCGACCCAATCGTGCAAACCGTAATATAGCTGCAGCGTGACTCTACCGTGTATAACGGTAAGGTGATGAATATTATGACATTTAATTTTTTTAACATGCATTTATGTTACTAGGTGGTAGAACATTTTTCTGCGAAGTAGTCCATCTGGGAAGACCGACTGCCCTTTTTCCTACTTCTGCCGTCAAAGTGCGTGCATTGCTGTGTTCCGGTCTGAAGGGTGCAGTGAGCTGCAATAATTATAAGCTTTGAGGCATTGTATCTTAGTCTTCAGAGGTGACCACACTTGCATCATCAGGCTGTCACGAGCGTCATCATGGACTATTCTTGTTTAGGTCACCTTGAGCACCTTTTATTTCTAACAGTTGGCGACTATTCAAGCTTAGTGCCCATAGCCACTTTAGTGTATTGGCTCCTTTGGGTTATGTATATTGTTTTAGTCTCATTACGAATTTTATCACACAGAGTAATTTCTAGTGTAGCCCTCTCCTTAGTTTACTGTCTAAGCGGTAAACAGTTCGAGCAAGTAAAGACTTACGTAACCGGCCGGAGTTGAAATAACTGTTACTTTTTTCTTTCTGTTGAAAGGATGCAAATGTTTACTGCGTGCATTTTTATCCTTATCAATCTGCAATCATCTGGCGCTGCAGTAGACTGTCCAACGGCGTGCAACAAGTGCAGGGAGAATCGCGAGTACTTCGCTCTGCTCGATGTATACTGCGCAATGTGTAGGGAGTGTCGCGAGAGGCGCCAAGAGTGGATGAACAGAGTCCCCAGCGGCAGGAGGCTGAACAGTGACGAGAACAGATCGGAAGGTGCACTATATTATTTTTCTTTGACTGCAGTCATTGGAAGTCTTCTAATACTCTACTCCTTTATCGGCCAGTACAAGTCTACTGCTAGATACTGGATTCTCCTGTTGTTCGGAGGAATTTCCTAAATTATCACGCTTGGCAGTAGAATTGATGATCGCAATACCAGACGTGACGGCAGTCAAGACAATTTACGTCTGATGTAAATGGGATGATTATACCGCCATCCGTCGGAAGCCATAAATTTTTTTTGATATTTTTTCTACCTATTGTTCCTACAATTCACTAAGTCTTGCGGGCTTTACTCCTGGTTAAACGAACACATACACATTGCGATAGTGTGCGTGTCAGTCGGAGCGTTAAATTTGCGAGCGTGCCCATCGCTAACCATACCCGCTTTTAGTTTCACGCACACTTTGACACGTATACAGAAACGTGTTCAGCGAAGTAAAACCAGCTCGACTTCGTGAATTGCAAGTACTATAACTATTAGGAATTGTGACGATGTACTTTGTCGACTACAATATTTTCTGAATATCATCAGGAGCATCGACAAATTAAGTCGACGGAAACAGTTATTTCATTGCCGTCATCAGTAAAAGTTAAAATATAGCGGTAAGAATTGATTATGAAAAATTTTTCTCACAAATTCGATATGCCAAAAGTACATTGAAAGTTTAATTTAATTTAGATCAAGAAGAGTGCCCAACGTCTCCATCATGCGAACCAGAGGACGACAGCCTACGTATCACTCTCAGATCCAGCCTAGGCACCACCACCACGATATCTACGACTACGCCATCTACAACGACGAAGCGTCCGTGCCCGCGAGCCACCGAATGCAAGAAAAGCAGACAGAAGCCTATGCAAGGCTGCTGTATTCCCATCTGCCCGTACCAGTCAAAGTGTCCCTCAGACAATGCAATACAGAAGCTCACAAAATCGGATTCCGTATCATCTACTACATCGACTAATACTAATAACTTTTTTTATGTACACGTTGGTGTTCCACAGGAACTTTTTAACAGATTGTGATTAAAATCTATGAATATTTTGGTGAGAATTCAATAAACGTTCATTTTACCCGGTTCAATTTAGCTGCCGGATTTCGTCAAGTGCACCTCGTAAAAGTTTTTATTTATGAACGTGAATATAACACCAATAATATGTGAGAACATTTTCTTGTGTATATATAAACAATGAAAAGTAAAATGTAATCTTAGGATCACAGAAAATAAAAGTACAAGTGTGCAGTGTTTTTTTAATATAAAATATTTTCTACTTAATAGAAATGAATCGAAGATAATGTTTATTATTAAGTACGCTAGCTATTACCTAGTTGCTCTATATATAAAACTATTTCTCTTACCCCAAGGCTTTGAGAGAACTATTATTAGGGTTAAAAGCTCGCCTTTGTGCATCTTATATGTTACAGTACGTTTCCACTGAGAAACATCCAACACATAATGTTTTGAAAAAAATCGCATAAAATAAATCACTCATAAAACTGTGTAAAATTTTCAAAAGATATTCAAATTTATCTCACAACAATATTTCTACAAATTTGTTTTCAAATATTTTGTTTCTATATTTATAAAGATATAATCAAGGATATTATAATATACTGCGTATAGAACTAAAACATCTTTGGATATAAAATAGTTAAAATATGTAATGTACAATAAACTGTCAAACATATTTCACTACGACATGCTCTTTGATTATGCAAACGCTTTTTGATACATTGACAGAAAACAGTGTTTAAAACATGTTTTTTGTGAAAATTGCGACAGTGCACACTCACGGTTATAAAACTGTTATAGTCTTACTGTATTGTGCACACATAAAGAATTAAACTGAAGTGACAAACAATCTTACAAGCCACGCGATGATAAGTGGGTACTGGTCTATGAACACCCGCAATCAACTTTTGTTATAAAACTGTGACAGTCTTACAGTGTGCACAATAAAGAATTAAACTGCAAACGATCTTACAGCCACGCGATGATAAGTGGGTACTGGTCTATGAACACTCGCAATCAACTTATATAAAACTGTGACAGTCTTACAGTGTGCACAATAAAGAATTAAACTGAAGACAATTACGCTATGAACACCATAACTTTGTTATAAAACTATTACAGTCTTCTTCACAATAAAGAATTAAACTGAAGTGACAAACGATCTTACAGCCCACGCGATGATAAATGGGTACTGGTCTATGAACACCCGCAATCAACTTTTAGTTATAAAACTGTTACAGTATTACAGTGTGCACAATAAAGAATTAAACCTATTAATGCTGGTGTTCCACAAGGCTGCGTGCTATCGCCAACGCTGTTTCTTCTGCATATAAATGATATGTTGCAAACCCGTAACATTCATTGCTATGCAGATGACAGCACTGGTGATGCTCTTTACACCGGCCGAGCCAATATTTCTCGGGAAAACGTCTCCGAGTGCCGGGACAAACTTGTGTCTGAAGTCGAGTCTTTGCTGAACAGAGTCTCGGATTGGGGGCGACTAAATCTAGTCCAGTTTAACCCCCAGAAGACACAAGTTTGCGCGTTAACCGCTAAAAAGAACCCCTTTATCGTATCTCCTCAGTTTCAAGGCACTCCCCTTGTTGCCTCAGCCAGTATCGGAATCCTCGGCGCCAACATATCGAGTGACGTGCAGTTTCGTGGTCACTTGGAAGCGAAGGCCAAATTGGCCTCTAAAAAGCTTGGCGTGCTCAGCAGAGCGGGACAGTATTTCATGCCGGCACACCGCCTGCAACTTTACAAGGCGCAGGTTCGGCCGCACATGGAATACTGTTCCCATCTCTGGGCTGGGGCTCCCCAGTACCAGCTCCTTCCACTTGACCGCATTCAGCGCAGAGCGGCTCGAATCGTCGACGACCGAGTGATTTCCGATCGGCTCGATTCACTGGCACTGCGAAGAGATGTTGCATCTCTTTGCATTTTCTTTCGCATATACCATGGAGAGTGCTCTGAGGAATTGTTCAGATTAATCCCAGCCGGCAAATTTCGTGAACGCACTACGCGGCAAACGCCCGATACCATCCACACCATCTGGATGCTTGGCGGTCCACCACTGTACGTTTCAAGAGGAGTTTTCTTCCGCGTACAACCTCTCTGTGGAATAGTTTACCACCAGCGATTTTTCCGGACCGATACGACCTGGGGACCTTCAAGAACAGAGCATACTCCTTTCTAAAGGGCCGGCAACGCACCTGCAATTCCCCTGGTGTTGCGGTTGATCATGGGCGGCGGTCACTTAACATCAGGTGAGCCGCATGCTCGTTTGCCCCCTCTTCTATTAAAAAAAAAACTGAAGTGACAAACGATCTTACAGCCCACGCGATGATAAGTGGATACTGGTCTATGAACACCCGCAATCAACTTTTGTTATAAAACTGTTACAGTCTTACAGAGTGCACAATAAAGAATTAAACTGAAGTGACAAACGATCTTAAAGCCCACAATCAACTTTTTAAGCAATCAACTTTTGACAAAAAAGGCTACAGAAGTGAAGGACCTCTGAGGACCAAGATACCTTTATAGCTTGTGATTATACTAGCTCTCTATACTCTTGGAACAGCACAGAGCAGTGCGGGCCCTGTTATCTGGCATCAGAAATAAACATGAGGGTTGTACCTACCTAGAGGACTACTATAAAACGTACTACTTATGCTTATACTATTACTTGTAGGCAAAAAACAGTCTTACGACCTACTAGAAAAAGTCCTGCCAAAATTAATAATAAATACGATCCAATCAATTTTAAACACAATGATGTAATAAATCCTTCATCTATTAGAAATTCTAGCGTAGTAAATAGCAAGACTGCTCAAGAACACATCTACAAATATAGTGACGTAACGCATAGAAGCTGAATAGTAACGAAGAAACACACTTGAGCAAACGTACGCAACAAACATTGAGAACACACTACCACAAGGACTCGTCCAAACTCCAAATGTAACAACATTGCAGTGTTACCAATTCCAAAAAATATCTACCCTTAAAGGTTAAGTCAAAAACGTCTAAAATTGCCTCAATTACTTAGAAAACCCCTAAAAAAGTACAATGTTTCGTAATATTTTTTGTATATAAATCATTTAATATTTCAAATACTATTTCATTTTCTTCAGATAGTTACGACTTATTAAAATCATAAATTTAAACATTTTTGGAAAAAAATTTATAATTGATGCGCCATTTGGTTGCAATGTGCATCAGATCGTCATCACACTTTGTATGCTACAACATAGTAGAAATAACATACAATTGATATTTGATAACATAGAAGAAATTGCAACCGTGACAATAATGGAAAACATACAGCTCGAATTTTCAAGATTTGCAAAACGTTTACAACCAGCTGCGGCACAATCAACGCGAACTTCTATACAAAAAGCTTACCTATATAAAAAAACTAAATTTGAGAGGAAAACTTCTAAGTTGGGAACCCTGCAATATTGATGTAATTACGTACTAGAACACACCTCGAACAAAACCTGTGCGGCAGTGCGGGACGCGAGATAGGTGCCATAAAGTATATTTTAATGGCACAGAGCAGACTAAGTAAGTTTGAGCCCGCAGGCTCTAACACGTGTTGCATACAACCAAATCTCCACGTCTCTTCTGGCACGTAGTACATATTAATTCAATGTCACAATAACCACTCTTATTTGTGATCTCATTTACGATTTGTACTTTAGTTGTTTGATCTGTTCTACCATTTGTATTTTTGTTGTTAGTAAAGCTTTTGTAGTCATGTTCTTTCAATATCCAAAGAAAACTCGACCAATCAAAGCAAATGTTTATCTGTTTCTAACCTCTTTACAACAAATTCAAAACGTAATAAGCGATACTCTTATACTGAGGGAGACCGGTGCCTAAACTGAGCTAAGGACCTGTAATTCAAGGCAGGTGATCTTTCGCAACCATCCATCCATCCATTCTCGTAACCTTCTTAGCCTATTAAAAGTCCACAGCTGAACATAGGCCTTCCCTATAGATCTCTCAGGGGATTTGTCTCATAGGGAGTAGACATGTGTCAATCATGAATGATTCGTTCGTTCGAGCTGGTACACTTAAAAGTATTAATGGTTCATTCATCTGTTTTTGAAATTTCCGGTACAACCAATCACAAACAATTGACGGAACCTTTATAACTCGTGATTGGTGTGAATTGTGAATGAGTCGAAAACCGACCGAATCCCATCTGAATGAATTGTTTTTAGTGTAGGGTACTGGTGCCCGAAATGATCCATTTGAATGATCGATCCGAATGTATCGCCGGTACTCGTGACTAAATGTACTAAAATGATTCGGTCACGAGAAATGAATGATTGACACATGTCTAATACGGGGGGAACATGCCGTAGTTGTTACGTATGGTAAGTCATTTTTTATTTTTATTTCACATTGCAATTGTAATTTTTTATTATTTTGTTTATATTATTTTGGTAATAGTTGTTTATCAGTAAGATGTTACCGCCCATATCTTGGTTTGTCTCCCTCAAAGGGTAGTCAGGTAATTCATTAAAATTATTAGTCAATCAATATGTATGTATAAAGTCTGTGATATAAACAAAAGTAATATAAGAGACAGGCATCATGTCAATAAAGTAATTCATAAAATAAAGTAATTTTAAGCAGCAAAATTTCGCGTAGAAAACGAATGTAACTAAAAAACGACAAAGGATGTACTAAAATATATGCTATGTACATGTATAAGGCACAAGGTAATAGCGGTCAACGATAAACCGTCTTATTACAAAAAATAGTTCATATTTAGCCTTTGGTTTAAACTGTTTGTTTGTTTTGTTTACTTTTAATTATTCTATTTTAAAAAAACTATTCTGTTTTAAGGCCAAGTAAATGTAATAGTATATAAAAAGACCAAGTTAATGTAGTATGTAATATATATACAGGTAGGTACAGAACAGAAATTATGAGGAATT